GTCGAACCTAGTTTAAAGCCCTCCTCACTAGGTTAGCCAGTCTGTGTCCGAATAGGGTCTTTCCTCTCCTCGAAAGGTGAACGCCATCTCTGCCTAGCAGTCCTTCCTCGAATAGCATCCCGTGCATTCATAATGCAGTCGGCTCTGTGAGCTGAGGGGTGAAAACATTATCTAGTAACTGCAATACTAATCCTAAATAAACACATTCAATCTACTGATTGTAAATTGGCCACCAAACCAGTTCAAATACAAAACTTTGCTACAGTCTGCACTGTTTAAATGCTATAGTCTGGTGTACTTACACATTACAAATGGTTTCCGTGTATCTTTCTAAAAACGAAAGCTTTTTTTTTTTTTAAATTGTTACCATTAAGAAGCTGTAGTAAGAGACCCTCTGTTTATAGAGAAGAAATCACAGAACTTGAAGTTAATTCCATATCTAAAGCTTGCTAGACTCTTGGCACCTAAAATTCACAAAAGATTGTACAGGTAATAAAGTTCGGATGTGAAACAAAATATAAGTTTCTTCTTGCAGTTAACTTTTTTGTATTTTTTACAAAGTGTCGGACAGCGTCAGCTGGTGTGCCTCGCTCGGGCTCTACTTCGAAAGTCCAAGATCTTGGTTTTAGATGAAGCCACAGCTGCTGTTGATCTTGAAACCGATGACCTTATACAGTCAACAATAAGGACTCAATTCGAAGACTGCACTGTTTTAACTATAGCACATCGTCTAAACACTATTATGGACTATGAAAGGTAAAGTGATGCAACTGTTGCAAAGGGAGAATGGTCTTTAGTGTCCGTATCTTACATTGAATAGGAATCGACGTTAACCAAAAATGGACACTGATCAACTTTTACAAATATTTTTTCCTTATGTTTGCTAGATCTGTTATCAGCTGAAATTCGTGAGTTCTTTGTGTGTCCCCGTATCGCCAGTGTAAGCATGCGGAGGGTCAAGTTCTGTCCTGGGCTATGGTTGTGCAACCCCATTGTCCACAGCATGCTTGCACAGATGTGGCTGATGGCAGCACTTGTTCTTACAATTGAAATGTAGATTCATAACGTTCCCTCTTTCTCTGAGTGGGGGTAGGAATCAAAACTTGATAAGCCCCTGACAGGTGTTTTACTCTTCCCCTTTTTCTGTGACTCCTGTAATTGGACTGGGGAGCCACACTGTTGATGGGACAAAGCAGGAGAAGTGGGCATTATATCCCCACCAAACTTGCAGGGGTTCACCACCTCTGTTAACAGTCACTCAGTACTAATTCAGGCACTCCAGCCATTCATGCAGCGGAAGCCGCCCCACACCCCCCCTCTTGGGGGTACTAGCAGTATTTTTCTCCCAGAGGTCAGCGAGTTGGGGGTAGCATTTCGACTGAATGCTGGGTTTCCTGACTTTAGTGCTTGCTTTCACAGCCTTAATGTTACAGTAACACTGTTGCTTTGCTTAGGCAGTCTAAGCACAGAGTAAATCCGTGTATCTGCGATAGGATTAGTGAGGTCGGGGACAAATTTCGCCTTTTGTGAAAGCTCTTGCAAATAGCCTGCATTATTTCCCAGTGGCTATGAGATATTATGCTAAGATTGCTAAATTTCCAGAAAAGTCAGTATTTTGACCATTTTTTCTTTTCTTGTTTTAGAGTTCTAGTCCTTGATAAAGGCGAAATTGTGGAGTGTGATTCCCCAACCAATCTACTTCAGAAGAAAGGCATTTTCTATAGTATGGCCAAAGATTCTGGCTTGGTATAATACAAGAACTAAGCTTGTACGAGTGGGGAAAAAGTGTGGAAATTGACTGACTATACACATTGAGAGGATTTTGAGAATTCTGACTTCCTTTGTTCTGCTACTCAAACCAAATGCTTCCAACTCAGACCTGGAAAAATCTAAGTTTAACATGAAGAAGATAAAAGTAACATAAATGCAATGTCTTTTTTCCTTAAAGATTTATTTTGCAAGAAGTAGAAGTTCTGAATGTACTGTGCTAAAGACCAAACTTAGACCTGTTTGATAGATTTGAGGCAAAAGATGAAACTGCAGTCCAAAAATGTTTGTCTTCTGAGAGCAAGAAAAATCCTTTGTTTTGAGTTGCTTATGTTCTGAAGGTCATTTTGTTTGAAAAATCTTTGTAAAATGCTACCTATTTGTTCAGTTGAGATTTACCATTTTTAGAACCATCTGCCTTGGGATGCACTCGGGACATTTTATGGAATAGCAATATGAGTCAACGTTTTTATTCCTTATGAAATACTGTCATGTACCAGGCCTTATCTTGGCACTTATTGTATGGGGTCAGTGCTTTTATGCATCATGTTAATTTTCATATGTGTTTATACTTTGTAGCAGCAAGTTTGCAGAAATGTGTCCATCTCATTGATGTGAAAAAGCACAATCATCATCAACAGTCACTATAACACCAAACTCCTGTGTGAATGCAAAAATTAATGTATTTCAATATTAAGTACCCAATTCTGAGTGAATAGAGTACAGTGGTTCTTACTTATGTGAAAAGTACCAATGGGGGACGCGGGGGGAGGGTTACACTTCTGAGTAAGGATTTACCTGATTGAAGGCTTCAGAGTCCGTTATAATTTGGTTGTAGTGTTATTGGTCATTGCATTTCACTGTCTCATATTTCATTCAGAAGCCCTGCCACATCCAGGACTGTTAGCCCTACGGAAACAGTGAAACCTTCTTTAGAGGCTGCTGCTACTAATTCTTAACTGTTGTGCAAAATGCTCTTACTGTTCCCAAAAATATACACATTTTTACTAATGCGTGGATGTCAGAGTAGCCTGACAGAGCTTAATTTATAATGGAGTCTAGTTCCAAGAAACTCAAGTGTTTTCTGTTTTTTGTTTTTTACTTAGTAGGAAAAAGAAAAGTTCCATACAGTCTTATTTTATAGAACAATTGCTGAATGACTGCAGTTTGAGTTCAGATGGATCCAGATATCTACCACTTTGGAAATGTGGACTGTTGGGAGTTTTATGTTGCCGACCTTAAAACTAGACAAGTGTCTTCTCTTAGAATAAAAGCTATTTATTTATTTTTTTTGTAAATTATGATTCTTTAAAATTGAGTAAACTGAAAATGTCTTTGGTATTTTTTGTAATGACTATACTGGAAGAACTCGGAGTAAACTTTCTTTGTTTGAAAATGATTGTCCCAATTTTTATACTCCTTTGTAATCTTTTAATGACAAAAGTATCAGTGCCATTATTGACAAAGGGTTTAAGGCCCGGAGAACTGTGGGTGCATCGGAGGTTGATGTTCATGCCTTGAAAACTAAGCCTCTAAAATATCATCACCAGTTAAAGAATTAATAGATGAGAATAATCAGCCTTGTTCTGAGGCCTGTTTTGAGGGGAATATGTGGAAGTGTGCACTTTGGATAAGCAGATCATAGTACTCCGATTACATGGTAACTCTGTTACTATGGCAGTACTACAATGGGAAATAAGCAGAGAGAGCTTCTCAGAGGTGGCAAGTAAAAAGAATTGGCTCCCACATATGGGTGCTAAAAATGCTTTGCAGTACCCAACATGCCCAATTGATGTTTGCTGCTCTTTTCAGGTGGCGCTATCACTGCGTAGCTGTTCTATGAAAATAACATTTTAACATTTGCAAATAAAAGTGGTTCTTCTGGTTACCAACGGCCAACTTTTAGACTAAGGGCTGTGGTTATTGATCACCAGGTGTAGTCTCCAAGGCCTTTCCTGGACTTTTACCAGACCTCCCTGCTCCACAGCCAGGGAGCTGTTCTCCTGCATGGTCTGTTGGTAAATTATGCTCTAAACACACTCTAGAAATCTGTAGTTGTAGCATAATTAGTCATGATGGAGGGGCCGCTGGGCCAGACATGAGTGGTGTTGCCACCCCATGTGCTAGGTCACTACAATACTCGCTCAGATTTGGCCCAGCTTGCTCATCTGTCATGAGGGAGGAATGGCCGAGCCAAACCTGAGTAGAGCTGCAACCCTATACCATTTGGAAGTAACATCTGAATCCAGGAAACCCTCAGATAACTGAAATATCTCAAAGTTCAAGAGTTATAGGGTATGAAAAAAGTGAAGTCTGACTGGTGGGAGAGGCCCTTCACCTTTAATCTTTCTGGTTCCTGTCTGTAACTTGCTCCTTATCTGCAGGAGTTATAAAATCAGCATATTGCAAGCACCATTCCTTAAGCCTTTCCCTCGCCAAAGTCAATTCTCTTGTACCTATATTTCAACAGTACCTAATGATGTCACATGCTTTAAGACTTAGTTTCCTATTGGTGTGTTATGCACAGTCCTGATACGAATTATGACCAGAAAGGAGTGTTGTTGAATCATACAGCACTGCTTAAAAATGACTTAAAAATAATTACATCCCATGTCATGTCTAACTTTCTCTTTTTTCCCCTTTTTTGGGGTCTGCTGAATGTTTTTGTGTGTTGCACATGCAAGCCTGGCCTGGGTGAAAGATACATTTACCCACTTCACCGCCTCTTCCTTTTGATGGTGGTTGGTAAGCGGGCACAGTCCTGGTATGAGGGAGGTGAATTAGAACAGTACTGTTTGTTCTGTTCCCTTGATTCCGAACGCCCACCGCCAACTTTTGTTCCTGTGTAATGCTTACCGTGTTTGGTCTCCTCCTGTGGGGCTGCTGCCTTGTAAAAGTCTCATCAAATCTCAACTCTGTTCTCTCCTGGCAGCATATAAATTCCACTACAGCCACTTCTGTTTGTTGTTTGGATCCTGTGCAAGATCTGTTGGCTCCATGGAGGAAGAGACAATCCCATATGCAGTATTAAGAAGGTCCAACCTTGTTGTAAAGCTATTAATGCGAACTTCTTTGAAGGGGGGAAGGTTCTCCATTTCTAGGGGGATTTTTCCTATTGGTGTGCATTTTGATGGGGCTGGGAGCTCTCAATATCCCCCCTTTTCTGTGGGGAGCAGAGGGAACCATGTTTTGAGGCAGACGAGTCACCATATCAAGAAAAGTACAGGATATAGAGGATGAGTTGCCACCTGAACCAGGAGTGTCAGTCGGTATTGTGCAGTGATAAAAGACAAACCAAAAACTGAACAAAACAGAAGTTAATATCTTAGAGGTTGGGATCCAAACCTACAAGAGAAACTCAATAAAAAGACCCGTAGATGTTTCTGCACTGGCTGCTCCAAGAGTGAGACAACCCACATAGAAGCAACGTTTACAATATAACCTATTGTTTTGAATTTGTCTCCCAAATTGACAGCACCTGTGCAGTGTAATAGGAAAAAAAAAAATCCAGCTCCATGCTGCCCTGTCAAACCCCTTATAATCTTGCTGCTTAATTCCTTGACTTCTCATACACAGAACTGCAGCAGAACACGGTGGCATCTTCTGCAGAGCTGGGATTGGGACACAACATGTTGGAGGCAGCACTTGAGGCATTTTGTTCTATGTACCATTCATGAATTCCGCTGCATTCAAGTACCCTTTTGAGCTTGCACTCTCTCATTATAGCATGTTCGTTACTCTTCTCTGTGTTCCACAACCTCAAAGCAGTATTACACACCATAATCTATAAAGCCCTATCATTATATTGCTTGCATCCTGGGTACGAACCACTGTTTATTCGCTGTTTCAACAGCTGAGATCAGATGGGGGTGCTCCTCATTTGAAAGTGGGAGCAGGAGCCTTGTCCTCTGGAACTGGCTTCTCGTACAGCTCCAAGGAGCTTGCATCAGACTTTTGGGGCACATTTCAGACATTTGCTAGAAGGGATCGATGGGGTAATGTGTCGGGTGGGAGGCTTTCAGGTTGTGTTCTAAACATCTCTTGTTGGAACGGAACAATCTCTTTAGTGCAAGCTCTTGGAACATATTTCTAGGCTTAACTAATTTAATAGAATTTAAAGCCACGAAGGACCAGCAGTTCATCTACTCTGACTTTCTGTAATATCACAGATCATCCATGCTAGTTGTCCATTCACCTTTAGGATTCCTACCAAACCATCTCCAATGCATCTGTGAAATTGGTAGTTTCATATGCAGTTGATTTAAAAAAAAAAATGTAAAGGAATGCAGTACGTGTTCTATGAACTAAGTACCAATGGCCTCTTAAATGCAAGTTTATAGTAAGAAAACGATCTACCTTTTAGGCGCACAGTGATATGTAAATGTATAGGAATAATGTGAGATAGGGTCATGTTAATGCAGGCCTTTGCTCTGGCTATTTTTAGAGTTCTTGTTAACTACTAACAAGTAAACTGCAGATGAAAGCCTGAAATAAGACCAGCTTTGAAAAACAATCCTTCCAGGTCTTGTCTGCACACGAATCCAAAAGCATTTTGCATGTAGTGAATGGCAATTACTTTTCATTATGATGGCTTTGTAGCTTAATCGATTCAGAAGAAATATGGGTAAGTTAGTTTTGTTCGTATTTAGTGTTGAAAAATTAATTCCCTAGTTTAGCAAGTTACTTCAGGCTTTCAGCAAGGATTAGGAGTCTCATAAAGTCCCATTACAGTTTCTTTTGTACTGAATCCTTGTTACTGTATCGGAATAACATGCATTGCTAATAGAAATCTTACATATTATGAGGGTTGACTTTTATTTCATCTATTATGTATATAGCTCATTCTAGTCCATGTTTCAAAGTTACTTAGAGGTGGAATGACTTGCCCTGTTTTCCTTTGTATGTAGTCCTTTTGTGCACTTCTGAGTAGAGAAAGCAAAGCAGTCTCAACCCTAAAATATTTTAACTTGGGGCTTGTCTACACTACCCTGTGGTCTGTACGTGGGGGGGGGGGGAGGTGACTAGAAGTGTGTGCCCAAGTGCTAGGCTGTAACTGTGGGTGTGAACTAAAAGGTTCCTAGTTCACATTGTCCTCTTCAGACAGGATTACATTTATGTGAACCTTTTAGTTTGTGCCCTCAGCATCCACATGGGGGAGTTACTTGGGTTTGCACTGCAATTCACACCCGCATAGTCCGAACTATGGGGTAGTGTAGACATAGACTTAGCTTGTAAGCTTCTGCCATGGAATGAAGTGCATTGGGACAGAAGGGGGGAAAATTGCATTTGTCTGTGCTAGGCACAGGGGAGTCCGCAGCTGTTGTGGTGGGACCTGGCAGCTCCCATGGTGCTGGCTCCCACCAGTCTTACACACTGTCCAACTATCCCATACATGTTCTCCTTTGACATACATGTGTCCCATAGTGAGATGTTTCCTACTTTTGGGTGGGCACTTTCCTAGGGCATTTCCCATTAGAATTGGCCTTTTACCGCTTTCATGTTTCAATGGCCTGTCAACATGGGACAATGTACAAAATGAAAGGCCATGCTCTTGGACCCACTGGCCTAACTGGGTTGGGGGAATGTAGCTGTTCAGTGCTAATAGTATGCCAGCCACTACCGTTTTAAGGCACTGAAGTCATTTTGACTGATTCTTGCCCTAAGAGGTTAGAATTGGGGTTAATGGATAGCATCGAGACCTGTTTTCTGTACTTCGTAAAATACATGCAAGTATTTTGTGTATGCCTTCAGAGTGGTTTTGGCTGGTCTGAGGGGATGTTCCATATAGAACTTGGGTGGAACATTCCCTTTCCACGCAGGAGTATAAACAAACTTGGGCTCTGATGGGCCAGTAGTGAAAGCTAATTCCAGAGACCCATGAATACCTTTGTCCCCACATTGCGGTGAGAACACCCCGTCTCCATCCTAGGAACTGTTGGCAAGTGGGTGTCTGCGGATCTCTAATCTCAGGATGGAGTGATGAGCAAAGAGTTAGTCTCCAGTTCAGCTTTAAAGTGATCCTCTTCTTTGTTTAATTCCCATGACCGAACAGCAACCCAGTGTCTTACCACAGAGCAGGAGAAAGAAGCTGATGAAGCAGATATTCCCCAGAAAAGCCAAAGGGTGCAGTTGGGGTCTATTTTCACTCCTGCAGATCCTGTGTAAAGTATTCAGAGCTCAGTACCTGAAGAGCTCGCTCTTCGTGGCCCTACATGTTGTGCTTTTATTTTGCAGCCTGTATTTGAGGATGTAATTCATGCAGGTCAGCAGACCACAAAATAAATTCTGTGTTAAGGAAAAGGAAGTAAAAAGGTTTTACTTTGAGACTGAGTCAAGTTCTCAAGCTTGGAGACACTGATCACACTTCTCTTTTGTGGGGATGAGTGTCAGGTCACA